ATGTATATATATATATACAATATGAAAGTTTTGTTTATATAATAACATTCTGTTTTTATTGAATAATATATTTTTATTGTTTATTTACCTTATTTGTTTTATTATTTATTAAAATTTAAAAGAATTACAAAAGTCTCAGTTTTTCGTATAAATACTTTAGTACTTATACAATAAACAAATTGACAGTATTTTATATATTTCCATTAGAATATTGAATGAAAATCTTGCTGTTTATTAAAATAATTTTTGGTCTATATTTTAAACCATAGTCCGTTTATATTATTTAAAAAGTTAGTGTAATGCATTCTTACATTATAATGCATAACTCATAAACGTGAAATAAATATCTAGTTATATAGAAAGTTTAGAAATAATGAACAAACATTATTTACAATTGTTTTACTCATATGTTTAAGATTATTTCTCTTATTCTTATGTATAGAAATTAAGAAGATTCTTTGCCTTCATAATGCAATATTACGTAACATTTTCACTACATATATAATTACTCAAAATAATCATTATCAAGAAATGTATTAGTGAGTCTTTATCGAATCTGGTTATCCAGAGTAATGACGTGTGCATAAGCAACGACGTTCCCGTGGTGTTTAGTACTTTATCTACCTCCTCGAAGTTATTAATGACTCTTGCTGAGTCAGGCGGCAAAACGAGACGCGGATTATGGCATGACAAGCGACACCTTCAAAATTTAATATCCACGCGAGCGAAGATAGTTGCTTCTGATCGATTACTTACGAACCTGCTACTTATAGGCTTTTTGTCGAGTGTATGTATGTTTAACTCGATATATTATTGAAAAATTTTATTTTTAATATCCCTCGCTAGTAACTAGTGAATCGAGTGTCTTCACGATTATAACTTTATTAGAACGAATGTTAGACATAAATGACTGGATAATAAAAAAATTTGAAAATTGATTTAAAGAAGATTGAAATTTTACGAAGAAATAATCGCAGTCTGCATAGCAAAGGTTACATATCATGGTTTTTTTAGCTGAATCACAGTCTTGATAACTCAGGCGTGCTTTGTCGTGCTTGGCAATAAGGGTTACTCGTAGATCCCATGAACGGAAATTCATACTCAGATATCATCCACTTTTCAAAGCGTGCAGCATGGGTAGTTTACTGACTTCAACATAACATGAGGCAATTCGCTACTGTACTTACTTTGAATAATTCTCAAGTAATACACAACGTCTATAAAGTGTTAAAAAAGTGCTTATATATATATATATATATAAAAGCGCTTTGCAGGCGCTGTTGTGCTACTTGAGTTCAAGCATTAATTCTGCCTATATATTCACTTGGAATTAATTCCGAGCATTATTCATAGTCTGAGTGTTAGATGGAAATGATTCATAGCCCTTTAAGATATTGATTATTCTAACGTTTTCGTTAAACATAAACGCCCGCACGTAATTATTTCCAAGCGTTGTTGTATTTTCTTTCGTTTCCTTTGTCGCCAATCTTTCTTCGACGTAAAGAACATTTTCACACGGTAACATGGTAAACTCTGCCGTTGTATGGGTGTCCTTATTTCATCGCTATGTCCAAATGGTGCGTTGATATATGGAACGATGGATTGTACGTATGAAACTCGAACTTGACGATACATTTGTTAAAGATCGGCGTGCCTCCAATATTTAAGATATCAGCTATGTCAGATATTTCGTATGACAAAGCACAACGATTGTAAAAATTTAACGTTTGATGCAATCAAAGTTTCTTTCTATCAAGCGATCGGATATTTTTGATCGTCGTACCTCTAGTAAAAATTATGTCTTTTATGCTTCGCCTGCTCATTCAGAACAATTATCTCACGTTATCATTGTCATATGACTATTATTTTCGACTCCGTACATGCAATCTAACGGTGATTTTCTCTCCGTAAAAATTGAGCAATGTTGAGCAACATTGTAGCAATGTTACAACGTTATCACAATATTATTGAAATATTTCAAAATGTTTCTTGCTTCCTGCGCATCTATCGTTACAATGATTTATATTTTATAAAATAGCATCATACGTGCTTGTTTAAATTACCTAATTCCTTTTGTTTTTTGAAACTGTGGCGCCTTTGACGCTTTGGCGCTCTAACACTTTAGAAGCAAAAATGGTAAACGCGCTCTGATTTGTAATAAGTATAAATAATTTCTATAAATATACATTAATGATAAATATAAATAAGTATTTATAAGTGTATCTGAGAGATATAAAAGAAAAATTTATATATGTGTGTGTGCGTGTGTGCGTGCGTGTGTGTGTATGTGTGTGTGTGTGTGTTTGATATTACATCGTTGATTTATTGTAAAATATAAGCTTTTCATTTAATACAATATGTGAAGAGCGTTGGCCGTCCATGTATATACGCATCATTGTATGTACATGGGGATAATTCAAAATATAAAATAGGGCACGGGATTGCGGTAAGCATATGGTCAGCCCCGACCCAGTACAAGATCGAATAATGTGTGGATAACCCGTGTTCTCTGCCTATACGGTAACAACGAACAGGCCACCACGAACATGCGGTTAAAGAATGAATATTCAACAGTAAACACCGGTAACGCTTGTAAAGGGAAGCAGAAAGGGTTTAGTGCTGCTGAGCACTCGTTGGTCGATCCGATGCAACGGAGAACCGACGAGGTACCGTGACTTGTACGGACCTCACGCGCACCAGCTGAGAGGGATGTTGTTTACGATATTACATCTATAATACCAGTCAAGTGGCCAACGTCCGGTCACATCGCCGTAATCTCCTCTGCGCCAGGACCCTCGGCTCTTGCCCAGATACAGCACGTCGCACCGAAATTATAATAATGTTCGCTGTAGTCATGTGCACTACCGCCGCATTAATGCCTTTTCTCAAGCGTTTTACAAATCGAATATTATGCACGAAAACTTTTTGCGAGTCGTCACATACTGTATACATTTATCTAATTTCAAAGATTAAAATATCTCAGCCAAAAGATTTTTTAAGTTCCAAAATTTCAAAAAAGTTTTTTTCTAATTTTTATAATTCTTGATAAAAAATATTGTATTTCTGTGGTTGCGCATATAGTGAATACAATGTTCACTTCCACACAACAATTTTATTTTTAATTGAATTTTATTTATTATGCATATATATATAAAGAGTGGATTATTTTAATTTATTCAGTCGATTTTCTCAAAATTTGTAAGTTTAAGATAAAAATATTTCAAAAGTTGTATGGTTTCAAAAGGAAAAGAAATTGGCACTTTAGCTGACTTTGGGAAGATCTTTAATGTTTACGTCGCCCCAAAAAGACATGTTTCTACTTGTACTAGCTATTGCGAAGAATATCACTAAGGCCTCGGTGGTCTAATGATGAGGACCCAAGTTCGATTCCCAACCGAAGTAATATTTTTTGCAATAAAATTATTTACAGATTTTAATATGATATTCAGCATCATTAAAATCTTCCTAAGATGCCTGAGAGCATCAAACTATTGAATTATTAATAAATTTAATTTGTGATATTACTATAATAGTTCAGTCGAGTTTGCGTTTCAAGACTTAAGAGTCTTTTTGGCGCACAGGACTACACATATGTAGTACATAAATACACATCGAATTATCTTAGCACTTAAGACAATTAAAGTTTCACTCCATCTCAACCGTTAAAGATTTCGTTTCTTATTTGTTATATAATCGTATTTACGGTCTTAAAAAAATTCCCCCCTTCAATATTGTTGTCTTTTAAAACATTTACTCGTAATTATAATATAAGAGAATACAGTTTAATTTTAATAATTGAATTATAACTCTTTTCATCATTTTGAGATGGAAATCCTAATACTAGAATATCAAGATCAGAATAGTTTTTGAATTATAAGCATTTAAAGTTACCGAATCATATTATTTAAAGTTCACGCATTCAGATTTGGTAGGCAAATGACAATGCAAAATGCCATACCTAAATGTGCGAACTTTAGATGATATGATTCGCAAACTTTAAATGCTCATAATTCAAAAACTTATATCGACATTCTAGTAGGATTTTCGTCTCAAAG